CTTACTTTAAGTCTTTGCCTTCATTGCGGCTCGTCTCTGGTCAGGTCAAGGCCAGAGAACCAGCGTTACAATCCATCTCGCCCTGCTGAACCCCATGGCATTGGAGGAGCACTAAGCGATCTGTTGGGGTGTGAAACAGTGTCCACATTACCTGTATGGCAGGCACTTCATTCTCCAAATCTGTCAAAGAGTGTTCAAGGCCATGATATCGAAAGAGGTGTTCGGTTGCTCTCCCCGCTCACGCAGTATGACTTCACCCCCACGTGTATCGATGGTTCCACCAACGCGGTCGGTGCCGAACACTCCAGACACCCTACAGGTCAAGCGCAGTGTTACACGACTGCACTTCTCTGTGATGATTCTCGTTCTATCGCCAAACTGCGTTCTTCTTATTATCTAGACACTCACGCGGCTGCGGTCCCAGTCATTCTGCAGTGCACTCGCACTACAAAGTACTGCGGTTAGAATAGGAAACTAGATAAGCGAATGAACTAAAGATCAGAAAAAGTAATAAGTAGGATAAACTGACTATAGTTTCGTATCAATTTAGACTAGTAATGCGCTTTACGGGCAACCGTATACCATAGTCGCAGTCTCATAGAGAGAGAGAGGCCGGTACCGCGGAGCATGGGTCGGCCGTACCCTGCGGATCTAGCGGCCGCGGGGGCAGAACATTCTCGGCGGGAAATTTGGTTTTTAGTTCGGGTATCGACATAAACCTTTGATTTAATGGATATACAGTTAAATTGTTACAAACAAGTCATTCACGCAGTCCTTCGCATACCAGCCATAGTGATGATTGTCACCGGGTCATCACAATTTGGGGGCCGTTCCGGGAAGGAAAGGCGAACTTTCTTCCAAAATATAGCCAAACCCCTTTCCTTAGTGAAAAAAAAAAAAAATTTCCTAAACTCACGAACCCAGGGGGACTCCCGCATCCAAGAGACAAGGGGACGCCTGTATGCAACCCCATCGCGGAAGGACTACGGGACAACCACTTACGCCAACCGAGGTGACATTGAAAGCCCACCGAGAGAAATTGCGGGCAACTTCCCGAACCGCGGAGGACAAGATCCCATCGGGAGAGCGAGCTGCCTGGCCTGAGCTCGCCGCGCCCATCCTATGGACGAAGGCCCTGAGCAAGGCGGGTGCTCTGAGTAGCGTGAACGACGAGAAAGCCTTGAAGAACCACGACGACGGATGGCTGTGGCCAACTGTGAGTAGAAAGGGCTTGACCCCCGCGAGGAACCAGGACCAGGACGCTGGAGGAACCGGAGACCCTGGGAAATCCTGGGAAATCCCGGAAACCCCCTTTCGAGTGGAAAATGGAATTATTGAAGTTGCATCGCCAAGTGACTGACGAAAGCCGAGCCAACGCCGAAAGCCGAACCAACCCCCGGAAAGGGAATTGCCGTGACGACGACGGGACCAACATGCGTTCCTTCCTTTGTCAGCTAGAACAGGACTTCCGAGAAATGGAGGTACCAGAAAAACAGTGGGGACTCCATTTAAGGAAGTACTTGACGGGCAAGGCCATGGTACATTCGGAACTCATGCAGCGCTCGGGGACGGAAATGGCGGATTGGCAGCTCGTACGAGGAAGGCTGTGCGAGAGATTCTGCTCACTGTCGCGCGAAATAAGATGGAGCGTTCGGGGAACAATCGCTGGCGGGGAGACTACAACGAGTACATCGTTCGATTTGCCGAAGTATCCGCTCAAGGAGAAACTATTCCCGAAGAGGAACGGCGGATGTGCTACTTCGCGGGACTACTGGAGGAAAAGGGTGAGAAGCTAACTAAGAGAGGAAAGAAGGAATTTCCAAGCTGGCAGGAGGCGGCCACCACGCTAAGAGAATATGCAACCCTACCGATGGTTTGGCGTTCGAAGAGGAGGCGCATGGAGCGGGAGATCAAGTGTGTGGAAATACCGCAGGGATTGGAAGGCGGAAGCGTTGGCTAGACTGGAGTTAGTAGTACTAGTACTGG